ACAAAGATTTGTGTATTAAATGTCATTACATTACAAACATGGCCTAATAAAACAAGAAAATATCTTTGGTTTTGTCAAGAGGCAACAAGTGACGGAACTTGTTTTGGTACAAGTCTTCACCACAGATAATCATGAAAAAGGTAGTACTACACAAATAGCTATTTCACAGACAAATGCAACTCTAGACATAAAATCTTCATTCTACATCCCCTTTTTTTTTAGTTAAACCTAACCCTGAGTCAAAGATCACTTTTAACAAAGGGAAAATTTAGACATCAGACTATACTCCTTCGTTAAGCCCTGCATCCGGTTTAAATTTATTTAAGCGAAAGTGACACTCACAACTGTAATTGTGTCATTTTCATAAAGAATAAATACATATTAGACAACAATACATATATTATACCATGTGGACTATTACAAAAAAGACAAAATACACAAAAGTACTTTTTCCCCAATTGCCATTGAAATGTAAACAACAAAAATACCATGTAAGCTTTATAAACCAAAAGTGTAACACCATACTGTATTTATCTAAGGTATTCTCATGAATGATTGATATTTTTTATCTTTTAATAGACCTGTGTACTAAATGTATGCATGCTTCTCTCCCAACCCACTGGGCCCCAGCTTTTTCATTCATATCCTAAGCAAAATGGCATCTCCATAGATGGAATTCACTTAACATATATTAGTTGTTGCTATGCCAGACAAGTCTCTGACAAACCTTTTAGTCGTTAATAGAAATATGGTTCAAATAGTGTGCATAAAATTAGTCAACAGGTCTATTAATGGAAAGATAAGAGAGCATCAAGGTTGCGTGCATATTAGCAATTCCCTTATTGAATAATAAATCATGTACATGTACCACTGCTTTTGAGTCCTTTAACAAGAAATAATTGTAATAATATTCCATTCTCATATTACAGTAAAACGTCTCTTTGCACTTCTAAAAGACTTTCAATATAATTGCCCTAGCTGAAGCTTGGGCAAATGTAGCGCCAAGTGCATTCAAGGAATAACTCATACCAGGTGCCACTCACCTTTGTTGAGTGTAGCAACTGTAGATTAGTGTCTTGCCAAAGAACGTTAGTGTTGCGGCAGGGATTTGAACCCAGAACCTTGTGGTTCACAGTTCAGAGACTTATAGACTAGACCACAAAACTTATACATACAGTAATCATATCAAAGTGAAATACAGTGAAAAGAGTAACTAACGTTGATAAAATAATCATATTTGTGAAAAAGAAATAAGAAGTTAACATACATCTATTACAGCACAATTTAAACACCAATGAATACAATGAACACTTAAAGCTTATCTGCCATAGTTTACAGGAGGGATTAGACCGCCCTACAAGGTCACTGGACAGGTGGTTATCTCATCAACTCAGCTCTCAGTTAACATAAGAACAAAGAGGATCATGGGGGATCAATGGTCACCGATTAAGCATTGTTTGATATATAGAGGGCGTAAGTAGCTACAAGTAGTGCAGTGGGCCTTTAAATCCATCATAGTAAATGAAAATCTAAAATAAGAGTTACGTACATGTACAGGCAACAACAAAAAGTCATTCAGAATAAATGCATTTGCAGCATGACATTAACGTTTCCTTCTAGTTATGAAAGATTAATTAAAATATAATTGTGATTGTCTCACTAAAAACGTAATCACAATATGCAGCATTCGACTATGGCCACAGACAGGGACAATTATTCAACCAGGGGAAAAATTTGCAAAAATAGTAGAATCCGAAATGAATCAAAACCAGGGCTCGACATTAATAGGTGCCCAGGAAACATGGGTGCCGCAAATCAAAATCCCATCCCCGAAATTTCAGAATTTCTACATAGGGCTCAACACATATTGGCCCAGAAATTTCAGTCCATGGGAGTGTTTCACAAAAACTAATATTAACTTTCAGTTGAACTCAAGTATGACAGGCCATTCATGCCACTGTTTGCTCTCACCGTTTACTGGCATTGGTCTCTCAAATCTACAGAATTTACATTTTTTGATAATTCATTATTTATTCATGTAAAGATCATAATGGTGAGAGCAAACAGTGGCATGAACTGCCTGCCATAGTTAAGTCCAACTTAAAGTCGATCTTAGTCTTTGTGAAACACCCCCTTACCAACAATTGTGACTTTGTGACCCTGTTTCATGAAATTTGATATCAATAACAAATGATAAATTTCTATGAGAGATTTGCTCTCAGCCAATAAATTGACATAGCTTATAGCAAAGGGTAGCAAAGGGTAGCGTCTGACAGTTATTGAAACTTTTTTATTGATAGCAGGTTATAAGTAAAAGGGCCCAGACGTTTCAATATGTTTAGAGCAATTAGGGATAACTTAATTTACATGAACTACAAGTGGCAAGAAAGTAATCAGGTATATACAGATAATACCCTCTACATTAAAGTAAGCGCATACATTGGGTACACATCTATTACATTTGAATGTCTACAAAATTGTCCCAGTACAATACAGAATAAAAGGAAAATGAATACAAAATGGAACAAAATGAAGCTTAACAAATTTAGCTGTCTACCTTTACTTTAGGCGAGGCGTCAAAAATATATATACCAGCCAGCGGCAGCTAACTGCACTTGTACGTCCTGGCTGCATTTTTTAAATTAGCTCAGCCGGCTACCGCTGGCGGTAGGACCCTCAATTAACTCATGATGTCATCATAATGGTCTCTGAACAAAAGCATGCGCCGGCTGCCGCCTTTCGAATGGAAACCGAGCCTCAGATCCCAGCCTGGCGCAAGCCGGCTAGGCTAATAAGTGAAAAATAATTGCCCCAGCCAGGCTTCGGCCGTAATTGCAGCCTCGATGCGCCAATACGTGAGGCGGCAGCCTGCTGGTATCGATATTTTTGACGCCTCGCCTTAACATGTTGGCTACTGAATTCTCTAATCCCTAATTGGATTCATACAGGAAATACCCAGTTCAAGTAGGTAACAGATTAAAATTTACATTTTTTTTCCTTTTTAGCAGAACTTCTTCCACAATTCAGTACACTATTTGCTTAGTATAAATGTTTCTATCAAACGTGAGTAGTAACAATTGAAACACAAGTACTTTCTGGTACATCCCTAAAATCAGGGATATAACAGTCAAACCACACTAAACACGTGTGTTTTGTACATTTTTTGTCTAGAATAGGTGTATTTAGGTTTATCTTGCAAGTATGCAGAGACACAATCTCCTTTCTTCTGTTCTAAGGCACATGTTTTTATCAACAACAAAGAAAGATCCACATGCATGATTCTTTGTTGTACCCATCGTTGATAGGAACAATTGGTTTCTAAAACAAAATAGCATCTAAAAGCACACACAGCCTATATAACATTATATAATGTAACATTTTTGACAGCTCATAGAGGCATTACATGAAAATAAAAGAGAAATAAGTGTCAGCAACATGAAAATAAAAGAGAAATAAGTGTCAGCAACATGAAAATATTTAATTGAAAAAGCAATAAATAAAGAGCATACCTTGTGAATATAGGATACTAAAAGGCTCAATGGTGAACAATACTGGGGTAGCTTAGCGAAGTATAGTGGCACAAAAAGTCGTGTCCAGAATGCAAAATGCATAATTGTTCAAAATGTTAATGTTATCACACAGACGTACAACCACATCACTATGATATGGAGCTGGTAAATGCATGTGTGATCTCGAGGAGGCTTATCGTTAACTAAACTTTCATTAAGATATGTCAACAAAGAACTTTCAATTAACAATCATCATTAATAATTATGCACATTGCATTCCGGATGCTTCATTTGTGACACATACATTGTACAAGGTTACCTATTAATTCAAAAGTGGTATTTTGGCAGTATTTATTAGACCAATCTTGTTCTGCTTTTGATTTTTGTGTGATTTACTTATTTTATCAACCATAAACTAAAAAGTCTTTGATGACAATTGTTTGTGGTCACATTCAGCTACCCCAACCTTACATATACCCAATACCCCAATATATAGCTTTTGTCAGGTGAATTTCACAGAGAAAAACTCTGAAAATATCCTGATTTTTCCAGAAACATCTATTGCAAATTATCAGTGTAATGGCACCGATATATTCTTGAATTTTCTAAATCTTCTGAAGGATGGAGACTGTTTGTTGCAAGCTTTTTATCCTCAACTCTTTAAAGAGTTAAATCATTTGAAGCATCACCACATAATATTTACATTACATGTATTGACTGAAGAATAACATAATAAATAACAAGGAAATAAGAGTGAGCTATATGTTAACTATGCAATTAAACTAGTTTGTCAGCAGAAAATAGTACTGTTTTAGAAGTAAAGATACATCTGTTATGAATCTGATGAATACGAATTTGAAATATCTACTGTTCAATTGGCTTGTACCACAAGCTAGTACTTTGTAACTCAACTACGTGTTCTTGAATGAAGAAATGAAAATATACAGATCTTATATGTCATCTACCTTAAAAGTATCCCCCCCCCCCCAAAAAAAAGGGGGAAGAAGACAGCACTTCCCCCATAAAACAAATCTCTCAAAAAGCAATAGAACTTTGGGAGGTGTTCAGGAGCTAGTACTTTGCAACTCAACTATGTGTATTTGAATGAATAACTCTCAAGCTGCCCCCATGCAATGCACCCAGTGCCACAGTGCTAATCCCTATTGTGCCAGCCACTAATCCCCTGTGTGCCAAATAATTTAGGGTTGGTTCAAGTGTGTGTAGTTTAGATTGTTACTTTGTTTGATCCACTATAACATCTCATCTGTACATTGTATTAAAAAGAATTGTATTTTAAAGTTGTAGAGAATTTAACCCTCTTTCTGTTGATACCAATAGCATTTCAAGAATCTGTAATTTTGGTAAAGTAAATAAGCAATATCAGTGAGTTGTCAAACCAATCCGTTGTCTCATTTCCCGCACACAATCTGAGGGGCCATGATCAAAACTGACAAATTTGATGATAAAATATCACAATTTTTTTCAGGAAAATCCCATGTAACGGTATATGCGAAGCACGCAAAATCAAAACAACAATAAACCCCCTCCACAAATACAGTAAGCATTCATGCGTGCACGCAATGCGCATCGCACAATAGGCATAAACAATTAGCGTCTGTACTTATGCACGAAAATGTGTACGTGGCACGCGAGCAATTGAGAGTTTATGTGTGCATGGCAAGTCAACAGGAACCCGATTATGTGAGCGTGGCACGCCAGCGCATGTACAGAACAGTGTTCTTGGCACGATAAGAGATAACTGAGAAGATACAGAACTCACATGTCATCGATCTCAAAGATATCCCCCATCTCAAAGATATCCCCCAAATCATCAAGAGATTCCCAACCACATGAAAAAAAATCTCTTAAACAGAAATAGAACTTCAGGAATTTGTTGTGGTTGTGTCTCTATTGTTTTTGGTACAGTTCATGACCAAGAAAATAAAGTGATTATTGAATGTATTAAAAGTACATGTAGATGTTAGAACTTGGTAAAACACACAGACCGTAAACCTGACTCCGGACAACTGAAACCTAATTCAACCAAAGATCTAAATTTTACAAAAATAAGTTCTGAAAAATTGATGGAGGAAACGTTAAATCACCCGATCTTGTACGACCACCTCTGGATATTAGAATGAACTTGAGGTATTCCACATCCTGAGCTATTTATTTTGATCGTCTACTCACATGCAGCTTATATGTGAATGTGTGTGCAATTAGGTTTTGACAGACATATATCAGTCAGATATGACTATTTACGTCTAGGGATCGACCTTCAATGTCACCATCCAAAAACTGTGACTCAGTCTCGAACCAGGGTCTGCCTGAGCCAGTTTGCAGGTTAAGACAGAGAGCTGACCAAGTGAACGTACCGCTAGACCAACTCACATCTCCCTTGAAGCAAAAGTGATGCATCAATCATCCTAGATGTTGCTGCAAGTCAGAATGACTTATGATGAACTCTATGACTTCTTTTAACAGCAAACTATTGACTGTAGCTCTCTTCACAGCTTCACGTACGAGGTATTCAACTTTTTTTTGTGTTGACAACTTCATGTAACAAAAGCAGTCATTACTCGCTCATTTTACTGGGCAGTTTCATCAGACATTGTGATACATGTACGCACTTCTGTCTGATTGGTGCCTTAGCAGTTCGAAACAAGTCAGACCTGTGCTACCACTGATGCCTGATGCATTATGGAGCTGTCTTCATACATAGTAGAATCCAGTTTGTTGGCCATTTTCATACACATACTAATACAAACGTATTGTATAGCTTTTGTAGAACGTGATGCCCTTTTAAACTTCTCCAAATACTCTCTTATCATAGGCAGTCCATCGTTAAGGATGATGACAAGATGAAACCCACAAGTGTTTTCTTACATGGCTCTGTTTTGCGATTCTGCTGGCACTGCGGAAGCCACACACATTTCAATCATGAGGTTTGTCAATACATTTAGGACAGCAGATTTCTGGCAGCTCTCCTCCTTTTGGCAGCTTGATAGCGCTCCGTTGCTGCCGTATTGGTTGTTGTAGCCACAGATCGCCTCCAATTACTCTCAAAACAACAACGCATTACCATGAAAATTCATGATCCGATTACACACAAATGTGCTAACCAACACCATACAAGTCATGAATATTCAAATCACCTTTTTCTAAAATGAAGTTACTATTCAGGGACCTGTATTAACATAAAATTCATGATGAATCATATCTACCGGTACCAAAAAGTTAATGCTTCAATCAAGCGCAACTTGACAATGAACAGTAAGCATACAATTAATTTTACATTACAGATAGATGGTACGATACAATGAATTATAGCAATACTGGAGATACAGTTCGATCTTACGACTGAATGTAAGATGACTTATATGACATCATAGCCATGAATTTTCAAGGGCACCTCTGTACTGTCGAGTCGTACAAACCTTGGTGAAGAGCTATAACTTGATGGGACAATTCATATCTAGAACGTCACAGGATCCAACCATGATGCAGAGTAGTAGCTTTACAATGTATGCGTCAAGCTCTTTAATCTGTTGAACGTTATCCAATAATAAGCTTCGATCCTATCTCTTTACCGTTGAGTCGTACAAACTGTGATGAAGAGAGTTCTATAACTTGATAGGACGATTCATATCTAGAAGATCGGGCGATTCCATCATCACGCGGAGTAGAAGCTTCTCAATGTAAGCCTCGAGCTCTTTAACCTGTTGAATGTTATCGGATAATATAGATTCCTGCTGCTGTACTAGTTGTACGAGTTGCTGTTGATAATGAACAGAAAGAAGATACAGATTTATTAGTTCATATTTTTTGTTGAACTGGTTTATTGATTAACCCTACGTTAACTGGGATGGGGGGTCAATTTGACCCCCCCCCCCCCTGTAGAAATTTTGTGACTACTTCAAAATCGCACCAGATATCAAATTTTCCTTTCATGACTTTTTTCTTTTGAGTCTTACGCATCTTTTAAAACAATTTTTTCGAAAATCAGACGTATAGTTACAAAGTCACGTGGCCTTTTGTCTTCGCATGTCAGCCCAATGGAAAGGTCATTTTTCCTAAAAAAGATAAAACATTGGTTATTTAGTCTTGTTTAAAGTTTAGGTGTTTGTTTTCGGGTCAAAATAGTTGAATTGTAGTTAAAAATGAAATAAAACAACAACAACAAAAAAACAAGAAAATACATAAGTTAAAAAACAATGAAATACATAAGAAATTATCAAAACAAGAGATAACGTAAGGAATAACCTGGCTCTTCCAATTTTTTTGTGTTGTATTATTATTCCAAATGGTCTAACAAATATATGTAGTGAAAAAGAATGCTTAAATATGAATAATGTATGATTTATGGAGAAAAATGTGAATTTTATGACCTTATTTGCATAAATTACCATAAATATGTAAATGAGTGAATTTTCAAAAAATTGAAATTACCATAGTATTTTATACACTTCACTTGACATGTATGCAAATTTTTTGCGGTGATCGACAGTGAAACGGTCGAGATCTTAGGGGGTCTGCAATAGCCCAGTTAAATAGGGTTAAAAAGCATTCATTCACAAAATGGCAGCCAAAGACTGAAACTACTTTAATTTACAAAATATTTTGAAAATACATCAAAATGCAATACATTCAAAATTGGTTTGATGAAATACAGTACGGTAATACATTTTGATGCATCCAAAACCTCACAGCAGACGAGAATACTGATGTGCTACATGATTAACCTTTTCCAATCGCTGCCACACAGTTTAATATTGAGCGTAAGTCTATGGCTCATCGTATATTCATCAAACTTAAAGATAAGGTTGAGTTCTGGGGGGTGTTTCACAAAGATTTTAAGTCAAACTTAACTCTAAGTTGGACTTAAATATTATGGAGAACCATTTGCAGCCTTACAATGAAATATATCAAAAGCAAAAATTCAAGTATTTTAGACTTTTCACAAATTCCACATCAAGAACATGACATCTCCCATGATAATAGAAACTATGAATGATTTGAATCAACATTTAATGCATTTTAGAATAACTTTTACAAGATATTTTCAAGGATGCTAATGGCTTTCCATAATTGTTAAGTCCAACTTAGAGATGAGTTCTACTTAGGATCTTTGTGAAACACCCCCCTGGTCATGCTATTGCATTGTGAAAGAAACGGTGTGAAATCAATCAGAAAAGGTTGATCATCTAGCATATAAATATTGGTGTGTACTGCAAGGTTCTGGATCATCAAAATGATAAGAAATTTGGTCCAGTCTTGGTAAAGTTACAAGCACTATAAACAGAAAGATGTATAAGGGACTACACAAACATGTGGCATAAAAATCGGTCCCAATTTGTATGATGTTACATGCGTTATTTAGAATATTAAAACATTTGAAGAGCCATGCTTTTCAGGAAACATTCTTGCTCTGATGTTCTTCCAAACTTGCATAATAACAATGATAACGCTCACAAATTATTGTTCACCTCTTCCCAGAACTCAACCCACTCTTGAAGATCAATCATTAGTCTTCATACACTGCCCTGGATATGTAAAAGCTGGAACTGACCTGTTTTGAGAGTGTATCGTACTTGCTAGTCGAGCTGTGCTTCCTATGTTTCTCCTTGCTCTCTTGAGTCATCTTCCGAAGGTCAGGGGTCGTGCCACCATTGTTGACTTGACTCAACTCTTCCACAGTGAAACAAGCACTCGACGCTTTCTTGTGTCGGTTCTCTCTTCTGACATTCTCTGTATTAAAAGATAAACACAAAATACATTAAAACCTCTACAATAAGACCACTCAGGAGAAACATGACAAGTGGCCTTTATAGGCAGGTGGTCATTACATCTTTGCTAAAGGTTTCAATGAGGTGTCGTGGATGAGTGAATACGTCGCCGGACTGTCGATCACAAGGTCCACGGTTCGAGTCCTTTGGCAAGATATTGATCTACATTTGCCACTCTCCACCCAGGTGTTAAATGGGTACCAGTACAAAGAAATTCCTTAAAATGCTGTGAGCGTCAAAATCGACAGCCTAGCATAGCCGGGTAATGTTGGAGCGCCTTGAGGACCTTGCAAGGTTGATACCTTATATAAGAATCCAATATTATTATTATTATTTCATATTCAAGGGAAACCAAAAATGTGGTCTTAATGTACAGGTGGTCGCTAAAGCAGGTATGACTGACACAGTCTAACCGTGTACTAAGGCCACCCAGGGGAAACAGAAAAACTAGCCACCGTAGACAGGTGGCCTTCCTAGACAGGTTCTACAACACACATTTCCTTCCCAAGGGAGACAAATTATACGGCCACTTTAGACAGGTAGCCCTTATAGAGAGTTGGCCACTGAGACATGTTTGACTGTAGATGAATAGCATAGCATTGTTACTCTACAAGATTCTCCTGTAAATATGTAATAGTGCATGTATACATCATCATTGTATAGCATCAGTTTTTCCAATGCAGTAGGGATGGACGATTCATTTTCCTTAATCATTTGACAAAGCACCATAACATTTCCCAGGCTTTAGCCAAGCTCCCAGTAAAAAATTGAGCATTCAAGAAATTTCTTTCCACAGGGTACCACGTTCAAAAATGTAATAATGTTAATATGTGATGAAAGTATCGGTCTGAAAATAGTGGGTTATTTGGCAAACTCGAGCTGATGAAGACAGTAAATGTAAGATAATAACTTTTCCATATGGAGTGATTGGTGAAGAAAATGCAGAGCATTACAATGGGCCTGTTGGTCAAAAAACTGAATGGTGTCAAATTCCCCATGAGAGCCCACTACTATGCATCTTTAAAGCATTTTTGTACTAGTTTGACCAGGAGGGATTAGACCTCTCTGCAAGGACTGACAGGTGGCTATCTCATCAACTCAGCTCTCAATTAACATAAGAAAAAGAGGATCATGGGGGACCAACGGGCACCAACTAGACATTGTTTTCTATATAGAGGGTGCAAGTAGCTACAAGAATCACAGTGGGGCTGGGTGGGGTTTCACAAAACTTGTCATCAGTGACAAATGACAGTTTTTGTTATAAGCTAGTGAAATCCTTGCTTCTGATTGGTTATCAGCAGATTCGTCACTGATTTTTGTACTTTGTCATTGAAAAAAGGCTTTGTGAAACAGCGCCCTGATGGCTACACTACATACTTCCTCTTGGCAGTGTGGCAAGACTGGAGATATCTCCTTGCTCTCTCTCCTTCTTATCCTTCAGCAGACTCTCCTCAGACACGGCTCGGTGGAGGGCCGTCGGAGGGGCGAGCAGCGAACCCCCTAAACTAGACACGCCCAGATGAATACCGGGGTTGCGGAACCCATCTGTTTCGTCCGGAGCTGAATTGCCATGGTCATAATGATGCCCATGTTCGTGGATTGGTGTAGGAGGCAGGGAGGAGGACATGTAGCGTAGGTCTGGTGTGCTTTTACCTATCTTGTCGAGATGCTCTTTGCTCTGAGGAAATAAAATGAAAATTTAAAACATTTATATAGATTTAACTGGCCATGACAGAGATACATATTCACCGAGTCTAAGTTCCCTGATGCTAGCTGGATGGGACCGATCCATATCAGGCTAACTATTGGGTGCAATTCGTTTACACAAAGCCAATGGCAAAACCCAGAAGAGTGAAAGTATCAGGGATTATATACATGTACCTCACTTAAGAAATCCAGCCATCTGATTGGTCAAAATTTTAGCCATTCCTGTAAAGAAACGGAAAATGCCAAAACCAAAATAATCCAAGAGTAAATCCTGGCAAAATTCCAGTTACCGGCAAAATAATAAAATCTTGCTGCGATACCCATTGGTTTACGTGTTAAAATGTTCTTTGAGCGAGCGCCGACACCATACAGTGTTTTTTGTCTGCGATTCTAAATAAAAATTTCAGTCATTTTTCATCAGTGATAAACAGACAGCTTCTCAGATTTGCTGTGATGTTTTAACCAATCTTTACTCGATAAAAGGATAAGGTAAGAATTCTTGGTAGATTTTTGTTTGAATTTGGCATATGAAAGGGAAAAATCAACTGATTTAATACTCAAAAACTGGCTGTTTCTATACTGGCTCTCGGTAAATTTGCCTCGAGCGTATAAAAACAGCCAGTCCTCTAGTAGCAGTCAATATCTCTATAATATTGCCTGCTAGTTTGCAGACCAGGCACAATATGCATTTTTATTTGTGTGTAGATAATAATAATAATTGATGAAAAATATGCTAGCTTTCAGCAAATTTGAATGTGTCTGAAGACATATATTGTGCAAATTGAATTTTCTAGTGAAGTAGATAGGTAAGAGTTTGTAAAGAGCCATCTACAGAGTGAGAGGACAAAATAAATTCAAGCATTTAAAGCTTATCTGCCATAGTTTACAGGAGGGATTAGACCGCCCTGCACGGTCACTGGACAGGTGGTTATCTCATCAACTCAGCTCTCAGTAAACATAAGAAAAAGAGGATCATGGGGGACCAATGGTCACCAATTAGGCATTGTTTGTTATATAGAGGGCGCAAGTAGCTACAAGTAGTGCAGTGGGCCTTTAAGTATATTTAGAGGGGAGACAACAACACATTTATAAAACACTGTTGGACAACATGTAAAAACTGAAAATAGAAATGGAAAGAGTGCAGTTAAATAGAACAGAGACTGAGAAAAGGTAGATGACATAATAATGAAAGCCCCGTCACAGATGAAAAATCAATTATTTCACTCTTCTTGCTCTTGGCAAACAGAATATTGAAAATAGAAGGAACAGAAAAAAAGACAGACAGGCAGCACAAAAGATAATTCACTCACCAATGCTTTTGAGATGTTACCCAATGCTGTTTTAACATTCCTCCCGATTCCCCCCTTGCCCCTTGCTGAGCCGGTCAATCCTCCTGGCCGAAATCTGTTAGAGGGAGGGGGCTTCTGAATGGGCGGGGTAGGGGGCTGTGATCGGAGATCCCTTGCCTGGTCGACGACGTCGGGTGTCGAGTATCGATGATGGTGCGTGGTACGGAAGTCATCACTCATAGAAGAAGCGACAGATTGAGAGTCATCCGAATAGAAGGCCTATGTGTGGGACAAAGCAGAAAGCACGATGTTATATACCACATAGCACGAATCTTGCATCGTGATTGGGCTAAATGAGGTCACATGACGAATACGAGATTGCATATCTTGGTGGTAATAGTGATAGTCAAAACTATTGCATATGTGATAGTCTGTTTTCAGTGATGCCAACAAGACTTACATGCTAGGAGCTGATGGGTTTTCATTTTGCAAAACATTGTTGTTAGATATGCGTAGGCAATTAAAACATAGGTAAAGGCGAAGAGTTCATGTGCGACATTGCTTAAGCAGACGACTAGTGCAATGAAACAGCTCACTACTGTATAGTTTGCAAGTAGCATGGTGTATCATGTACTATCTTCCCACGCTGAAGGCAAAATGACCTTGGTGATAATATTATTACCCATTTCCGGAGTTGATTACCTCCAAGAAAACCTTTTATACCCCAGTATAGATTTATCATGCACTGGAAACAGACGTGTAAAATAATCTTGAAGCCTTTGGTACACCGTTTATCTATCCCATAATAAATAATGTACAATCTGGGACAGGGAGATTATAATAGATGCTAGATGCTACCTGTCCCTATGAGAGTTTTGAATGTGGTGCTTACCGGGTCATTGAACTGAAGCTCTCGGTTGATATCATTGAAGTATTCATCATTCGCAGAATCTTTTCTCGAATCTTTCCTCCTTACATCTGGAGATGAGCCAGACTGTTTTCTTCTCCATGCTAGCCACGAAGATAAAATAAAGCAGAATCACAAGTTAGCTGAACATATATTTTCTAATGTCTGAATAAATCACCTATGATTTCTCATATTTAATAGGAATGCCACCCTAAAATTAGATTTTTTTTTTTTTTTTACTAATAGCAGAGAAGTGAAAGAATCAAATTTGTGAAAGATTGAACAATATCCGATCAAAGATAGGAAAGTTATGAATTTATTAAGTTGTCATCAGAGAAAACAAAAAGTGGCAACGCTGATGTATCTTGGGAGTGGAACTCCCAAGGTAAGTAACATTTTGTTGTAATGTTTGTCCTACCTAGCAACAATTTCTGCGGTTAAGGCCGCCATTTTAATTTGCGCATAAACATTGCATCTTCAATGTTTTGAGATGTGCATGTATTGTTGCGACACTGCCTGCGTTGTGCACTCACAACATATACCTTGTTTACTCGTAAATTAAATGTCTGCGCATGCCCACTGTTGTAACCATAAAAGGGTGTATTGGCATATTGACTATTAAAAGACATTTATTTGTAACAGGTGAATGAAATCATTTGTAATGAGACAGTCTTATGCATCAAATATCATTTCATTTTAAACCAAGTTATACTAACCTGGTGAGGGCAGCAAATTAAGCAAGGCTGGCTTCTTCTCTTGAGCTTTGGCCTGTAGCTGAGCCACATCTTCCCTGTAAATGATCTGAACTGTGACCTCCAGTTGACCTCTATCTCCAAGCTTCTTGGCCTCTTTGCCTTTCTTGGGCTGTAACTTGTACCATCTAGATATAAAGTAATGCAGTAAATGATTATAATCCGTTCTTGTATAAAATAACACATTATGAGATTAAACCTGACTGATATGAAATCACGTGTATGCTTGTATAATGTAAGTACATGTAAGCAACCAGGGAACCAACAACATTAGGTCCTCTCTGAGGGACTTGGTAATGAGGATTAATGTCTTACAAAAAGGCACTAGCACATCAAATTGTTCTTTCAAATGAGCCATAGTGCCTTCCTAATGGTAAATAAAGAGAACTTACCTGCCTACTTTGGCAAGACATTTGCCATTCTCTACCCATGTGAAATGAACGCGGCAGGTAAAAATTCCTTGAATGCTTTAGTCAGCTAAGCTACAGCCATGCAGGGTAATAATGTGATACTTGGTACTAAGTGCAATAGAGTATACTAATATAGTAGCTGCAATGTATACCTTGTAAATAGATATATTATTATTATTATTAAATAAAGGTGTCACAAAAATTTTATTAGCTACACTTCGAAGATCAACTTACTTTTTGATGCTCTTTCCATATGAAGCTGCTACACCACTCAGAGATACCTCTACTCTCCCTAAAAAGCGTTCTCGTAAAAAGTCTGAATGGCAGACTATGAGTTCTAGAGTCCCTCCCTGGTCTGCTATCACACTGCAAGAAAAAAAAAGAAAAAAACATTGAATTATTAAAATTTAACAACCGAAAATGGTTGAAAAATACCGTACATGTCCTGCGTGAGAGTCACTGAAATCTATATCTATCTATATTGGTATTTACATTGGACATACAAGCTTTGTTTTGTATAAAGTATTCCATAAATATTCTGCTATCCTTACATTTAAGCCGTGAAAAGTGGAAAAATGGACAGAATAGAATAGTGGAATGGAAGTGTAATTCATGAAAGATTTGAACATGCCTTAAATATATAAATTTAATCTCATATACTCCTCCTTTAAAAAAAAATCAAAAACATTATTAAATGTATTTTTCAAATCTTAGAATTTAAATTGTCAGATGATTTAAAAAATGGAATATACTTTTTTTATATTAAAGATAATACTGGACAGTTTCAAGCTACATGTAGGTAAATTGTACAGTCTGGTGACGTATCCTCTAGACCACAACTCCTCGACTATACTCTACTTTGGAAAGGTGTTGTGGTCTAGCTTGACTATGGATCAAAGGGTTCACGGTTTGAGTCCCGCCGCGGCACCAATATCCTTTGGCAAGACATCAATCTAAATTTGCCACTCTCCACCCACCAGGTGGGAAAGAGTTCCTTGAATGCTGTGAGCACTGATATCGGTAGCCCAGCAGAGCTAGGGTAATATTGGAGCACCTTGAGCACCATGTGTGGTGGATATGTGACTTAAATCCCCACTGCAGTACTTATAGGTACTTGCGCCCTCTATATAGCAAACAATGCCTAATCAGTGCCTGTTGGTTCCCCATGATCCTCTTTTAATTGTGTTATTTGAGAACTGATTTGATGAGATAACCACCTGTCAGTGACCTTGCAGGGAGGTATAATCCCCTAGGCAAAACTAGTGCAGATGGGCTTTAAAGGGAGGCTTTACTACTTCAACAAGAAGGGATTAGACCACCCAGTGAGCCATCGAGCTCACTGTGACAGGTGGCTATCTCATTAACTCAGCTCTCATTTAACATAGGAAAAAGAGGATCATGGGGGACCAACAGGCACCGATTTGGAAAGTTTTCTATATAGAGGGAGCAAGCAGCTACAAGTAGGACAGTGTGCCTTTAAGATGCAAAATAGATAAATGATATATTAGAATTTACTTACAATTCACACTCTTCATTCCAGATAGGTCTCTGTGTCTTCTCTAAGACGGAGGTAGCAAATTTATTCTTGTTTAGAGTGAACGTCACAAAGGCGTTGTTGGAGTCATCCTTTCCCTTGTATAGAAGATCCCTGGCTTGGTGGGCTACATGCAAAAAGGACACAAGTGTTAATTCGTAAAAATGAGAGATTCACATTGACAAACCCAGGGTTGTATTCTGAAAACAATACCGGTATTTATTTCATGTAAGGGAAAATGTAGTTAACTGTCATGACAAACTCAAATTGCACAGAATTAACATTTAATGTTGAGGTTCAGTGATTTTTTAAAGATTTCAAGTCTACATAATTTTTATAATTCTCTTGTGGTCAACATTTTGCCATTTGCGCTACCTGAATTAAACACTAATGGGCTCTTTGTTTGTTTTGTTTTTTTCCTTTCTTTAAGATTTGTTTGCTATCAAGGTTGGATTTTGGTTGGCTATGTACAATGTACATGTATGTTAGTAAAATGGCATTTGATATTAATAATGTATAGTGTACAAGGCCCAGTGCCACTCCATTATATATCTAACACTTTATTTATCGAAGATGCTGGTCGACAGAATATTGATTTTCATTTACAATATCTTACATCCTGTATTTTGATATGGTTGTGAAGAACATCGTGATATCAATATGTTTCAATAAATATGGTCATGGTTTTTTTTTTATCTGTAAACTTCCTTAAATACATATAAGTTACGTTTATTGGATTTGTATTGTTTTGGTTCTCTTGTTTAAAAATAAGTTTGCCTTGTTTTGCAATGTACATGTACATGTATTACTAAGTATTGTAGATAGGAAAAACATAAATGATCTTGTTTCCCATCAGCTACCAGACTGGTTTTAACTTATTAATTGTTTTTGTTTGTTTTTATCAATAAGCATAATTGTCTTCATGTACACGTACTGTACATTTTTATCTACAGCTGTACACTTTGTCCTTTGTTACAGTGTGGACACTACCCTTCCCCCAACACCCTACATGTACAGTGTTTCTCTATCTAGTCTCTACACCCCCCCCCCCCCCCCCCTCTCTCTTCCCCCTCTCTCTCTCTCTCTCTCTCTCTTTCTCATTTCTCTACCATGACAATGTCAATTGGAATTCACACTTAACACACTTTAATTATGAGACTTTGTAAACATGTCAATTCTGAGTGAGCAAACATACTGTATGTTAATGTGTCTCAGCACTCGGCAGTTGAACTGCCTCTGCATGATCTTGAGCAATATTTACATTTTGGGCATGTACAGGATTATATCATTCAGAAGGAATGTTTAACCAACCAACTTAACAGGAAACCTCACCACAAAAAATAACTTTAACATCTATTATGAGAGATTTATTGTACTCTTGCCCATTTATCTATAAGGTGCCCTACTAGTATGAGGATGGGGGGGGGGGGGGTTATAAAGCAATAATAATGTACACTGTACAGGGACTCGGCACAACATGGGCATCACTATTTTCTTGATAACCTAACATACTAAATGCGAAGGGGTTTACCACGTAAATGCATGTATTCAAAATGTATGGATGCTTCCTCCCCAGGTGTGTTTCATTCACCTGTTATTGTACTACTTGCCATTTATAATAAAAATTCTTCTGAGATGAAGGTTTTTGAAGAAAAAAAGAAATATATTTTTTAACTGCTACAGTGTATATTTTGAAAAGTTTGAATGTTGCTACATGTATACAGTAGTCAGTCTAACCATGCGCTTTGAATATTACTTTTACAAAGAGATATTGCAATTTAAATACATTATCAGTGAATAGCAAAACATCTTTTTTACCGGTAGGTACAGTGTACCTGTAGACAATTTAACACACATGCACATGTACATTGTACATACGGATGTGCACGGCCAGAACCCAAGTCCGAAGTGAGTTCCTTGCGAGCCGGGAAAAGTTTTGTTTAGTTTTTCTTAATTTGTACACTGTACATTATACCTACGGTATATTATTAATATTCTTAGATGACTGGCACACTTTAACTTCCTCTTTTCTAATGCAAGTATCATTAGGAAGGGATAAATTGTAAGTGCATGTGATATACCGGTACATGTACATGTACATGTATACAATTAACAACTAAATTACTTGTAATCATTGTAAATTTGATGTACGGTACATGTACATGTATTTTGTTTTAGTAGGTCAATAATAAAGTAGGACTGGTTGAATACTTTTTCAAGTCATGTAAAGCTTTAATATATGTCACATTCTCAAGAAACATTAATTGGGACACCTCCCTGATTGGGACAAACCAATGTTTGTCATACTTAAGGAATTCAAAATTGGGATAAGGGTAAAAATAGTTAAGTTAATTCACAGAGAGAGAGAGAGAGAGAGAAAAGAACAATCAGCCACTATGTAAATCAACAATGATCAACCCATATTCCCCAAAATATTCATGCTGACAAATTGTCATCGCAATGGCACCACAACAATGAATGAGTCAGTGCTAATTGCACACAAACACAAGGTTCATTCAGTGATGAACCCGCTACTACACTACACCCCTGTTTGATACTATAGTCTTTAAGTCAGACCCTTGTCAAACTTGGGCGGTTATTGTTGTGGCTAGAGCCTACATTTAGACCTGCATGTGCACCACATCATGTACATGTAAAGGTAAAGCTATTGATGACTCACTCCAGAGTCAATAAAATGCAATTTATTTTTGTATTCATGGATGTATTGTTTTTTAGGAGTACATGTACGTACTGTGCATGTACATGTACATGTTTTGCCTACTGTAAGCATTTGCTCTCACAGATCTTCCTTCTCCAAATCTATTTTAAAACTGGCTGATGTTGCATGTGCGTGCCGTGCATCTGCAAGATAGACCTTCTGGTCCCATATTTCTAAATTAAAAATAAATTGTGTTATGCTATGGTCACATTACCCAAAAGTAGTCTGCTCGGCGGCCGAGCGGCGACTTTTTAACCAATTCTGCCCGGCGGCTGCCCGGCCATCGAGAGGCGGCCGCCCAGGCACTGCTCGTTTTTTGGGCATCGCTCGGTCGCCGCTGAAGTTTTAGCGCGGAGTTAAAATTTGGGCGGCGCCTGCTCACTTTTCACTCGCCGTCCAAAATATGCTCGGTGCCTGGGCGGTCGCCGCCAGGGCACCGACCTAATCGCTGGGCGATGCCTAATTCCAGCAGCGACCGAGCAGGCTACTGATCGGTCGGTCGCTGCTCTGATTTGTGACCATAGCTTTAGCACTACCAAGAAGAGTCCCCCTAAGGCCTCTAGATAGAAACAGGTGTACATTGTATGTACATGTACCAACAAATCATGATGCATAGAAAGGTTTCATTCAGTAGACTAGACTCATCAAATGGAGACAGACAAAGGTTATTGAGATATTATTTCATTACATGGCATTTATCACCTGGCAAACTCAATCCATTACACACTCCATCAATATGTCACAGAAACAATAACTATCCCAGCCATTGCAATAGTTTGCAGGCATTTAAACTATTGCCAGTCGTTCTGCTCTATGTGCTTCATGCAGTGTCTGCACTAGTTACCGGTAGTTGCTTTAACAAAGGAATTTTACTAGTCTTCCAATATGGCATTTTTTGTATTGTAATCATATGTAATGCATGTACGTGCCTCAGTACAAATTATTTCATTTCATTCATAAATGTTATGAATAATAAAGTATATCAATAGTCAGGATATACATTGTATTTATTAGTTGTTGCTACAATGTACGCAGAACAAACATTATGGCTTGCTTTTTAATACCTAACAACACGTAATGTACAATGCAGATAATGCAATTTGTATACTGACTATTCTAACAGGTGAATTATATTAAAGGTAAAGACCAGTAATGGTCATGCGATTGCATTGTGAAAGAAACGTTGTGGAATCGATCAGAAAAGGTTGATCATCTAGCATCTAGCATCTGCAAGGTTCTGGAATCATCAAAATGATAAGAAATTTGGCCCATTCTTCGTAAAGTTACAAGCACTATACACAGAAAGATGTATATGGGACTACCCTATCTCTCTCACCAGACCATGAGAGAAATAAATTTACCAAATATATGAATTAGTAGGCGGTTTCCCGGCAAATTTTTTATCATCATGTATTAGTCAAAACATATTCTTTCACATGATTGGTAATGAGAGCTTCCATTTCATTTTTTGAAATTGGGGCGTTGCCAATACTGGTCTTTACCTTTAATCATTCCTATTGAGGCACTTTACAAAGATGTACAAAAAATGGCTCATTCCTTTATTCATCCAATTGATTTTTAGTTCTATTGCAGTATTACAATTTTGTTCAACTGAATTTTATCTTGTTATCATTAATCAAAAAATTACAAAAAATGCAACAACAACAAAAAGATGTAAAGAAATTAATAATGTCTACATGTACAAGAAATTGAAGAAAACATGATTTTTGGTGATTAAATGTGCATGTTAGACTCGTTCAGATACAGTGTACACTGTACATGTATATGACAGGGACAAAGGTGCTGTTTTTGTTAACGATAACATTTAAAGATACACTTGAGTTCTGGTAAAAAAAGAAAATGAATTCTCACAGAATCAAACAAAACTTACACTGAATGTTCAAGATATTACAAATAAATGTCATTTGCCAAACAATTTTGGTAGAAAATGTATATTGCCTGAGTAATGAGCATAAAGATAAGGAAATCAAGGTACACTACATGTACAAGTACATGTATGTAGCCCTGACACCATTTGTGAAGTCCCATATGCATCTTTCTGTGTACAGTGCTGGTTACTTTACCAAGACTGGGCCAAATTTATTATGATTCTGATGACTCCAGAACCTTGCAGTACACACAAATACTACAAGCTACATGATCAACTTTTTTTGATCCATTCCACACCTTTTCTTTCACAATGCAATTGCATGACTAGAACTCAACTTTATCTTGAAAGCATAAACGCTTCACATTTCAGTATCTTTTTTTCTTTTAGCAAAGAGCTTACGTTTTAGCATTACACAAAGGACTCTTGTTGTGTTCAGTTGCAATTCTTATACACGTAAGAAAAAAACAGTGGCAGCTATGTTTGCGGTATTTCACCACATCATATATATCTGAACAACCCTTTAATGATACATGTGCAGTCAAACTTACCTACAACTCTGCATACATTTCCCGGCAATGAAAGGGAAGAAAGTGACATTTTGAAGCTCTATGTTCTGGAATTCTCACGCTGAACACACAGTGAATGAAATGGCATGTGACATCATTGTGAAGACCAGGCAGAAGCAGCACCGTATATTAGCACCTCAGGTCAATGGCTGTCTGTAAGGTCAAGGAGAAAAGGATTGAATAAAAACAAACTCTGAAAACAAAAAATATCATTCTAAACAAAAAACAGAGTTACATTACAGAGAAGTCAGTCAACTAAGAACACAATCATCAATGACAATGTTTTGAGGGTTTTGTTTTTAAATAAAGATTAAAGAAGATACGCTATCTAACGGTACATGAAAAGCATGTAGTGTACATGTATGTCTGCATGTACCAGTATGTATTTTTAACACATCAATGCTTTGAATAGATGACATTTGTTGTCTATTTCCAATATTTTCATAGAAACTACATTGTAAGTCTATGTAAATTACATAACATGCATACATGTACAGGTGCACTCTGTTTTTATATTATCATACAGTAAAAATAAGTACTACTTATTGTAATAATATTTTAATAATCATCATCATCATCTATATGATAAATATTTTTTTTTATTGCACCATAATTTTTGGAATGCATGTAAATTATCACAAACCATTAAATCAAACTGACTTTCATGCTGCCTATTTGGATTCCTGGGCTGTGTTTCACAAAACTGTCACGCAGATACAAGTTAACACAGACATGCCATTGGAACATGTAAATTAATACGAGTTTCAATGGGATATCGGCAAATTTGAACCTAACCATGTTTTGTGAAACAATACCCTGAACCCTGGGGGGTGTTTCACAAAGATCCTAAGTAGAACTTAACACTCTAAGTTGGACTTAAAAATTATGGACAGCCATTGGAGTCTTAAAATGAAATATATTCAAAAGCAGAAATTCAAGTATTTTAGACTTTTTTTATGAATTCCACATCCAGAACATGAAATCTCCTTGATGATAGACAATATGAATGGTTTGAATAAACAATTAATGCCTTTCAAAATAACTTTTACAAAATATTTTCAAAGATGCTAATGGCTTTCCATAATTTTTAAGTCCAACTTAGAGATAAGTTCAACTTAGGATCTTTGTGAAACACCCCCCAGGTCTTCACAGTATCCATTGTTGTAAAGTAGCACATCACTTATACAGTAATAGGTTTACACTACACACCTATTTCTTTCAAGACACTCTTGTTTCTTTCTCTCAAGGTTTCAAGTTTCAACCTCCCAAGTCGTTGCATGTAACTATACATGTACTACAGGTATACACAAATATACATCATATACATGTACATGTTCACAGACCCTACATGTATATCATATTTTGAGTCACTTGCTGTCTTTTCAATACCGTAACATGAAATAAGTGAACTGTGCTGTTGCATTGCAGTAGACTATTTTGTCTTGATACTTGGCATGGCATATATTTATTAAAGCATTATTCAAGATAGTGCATGTGATTGATTGATTGATTGATTGATTTTTATTGACAAGCTTCCAACATACAACAATATACAATAATAACAGATCAAAAATAAGTCAGCTTGAATAGGATAACCCACGAAAGCTCGAGAGCTTATTTCCAGTGGGGTCCCTTACAGACATGTATAAAATTAATTAGTAAACATTAAAGTAAAAGCTCCCTGGAGTTAGCTGGAAGTTAGAGAACTGATTTATTACTATATAATTTACAGTACCGGTAACGATATGATTTTGGAGCAAGCTATGCTAAGCCTAGACAGCAATAACCATCTGATTTGGGTCATTTCTTTAATAAAACTGACATTTGTTGTCAGTCTAGTGGAGCCAGACGTAGTCTCAGTGGAACAACCGACGATTAGAGAGACTGAAGTTTTCGGTCTATGCTAAGCCATAACATAATTCATACATGTAATGTAATGCATACCATTTAGAATTAAACATTTCAATTATCAATATCAATATTATACAAATAATACACAGGTGTGAGTGTGTTATGGTCGATGCAGCGCATGAAGGTAGTCACTATGGTGCAATCAAATTCATGAGGCGCTGCCGAGTGTAATTTGTGCCATTGTGAATACTTGAATAGCGCTGCATCGCCATAATGTCACAAATGAAAACCTGTATCATTTGTTTTATGAAATAGGGTCGACAATCTTACTTAATTAGCAAGGTGATAACACTTTAAACCAGCAACCTTCATAACAAATAATATGTGCACACAGACGATCACAGCAGCAGTGGCTTTGTAAACAGGACTGTGCAGTGCATGGTGCCACTTCACGTAAACATCCGTTGAATTACATGCAGCATGCATTATGCCTTTTTGTTGCACCTTTTTTTGCATGGCCGTTAAGTGTTATCACCAAAATGCACTCCCGATCCCCGTGCGTGTGTAAGGCTATGGACTGGTTAAAATTAACGCACACACACACATGATCCATTTTGACGCTTCTCATTGGCAAAATTCTTGAACCCATTCAATATAGTCTAACATTTATTATTAGACTAGACTAGACTAGACTAGACTAGATCTGATCATCTAGTAGAACTCTAGGTTTAGATCTAGACTTCTAAATAGACTTTCATTGCCAACAACATGCAACAATCATGACAATAATTTAATAGTAAATACATATAATGTAAATTATATTTATTTTGCTTGCTCCCATTTCTTTTGGTTTTGCACATGACATGTGAAGGATAAAGGATGCAGGTAAACAGTTTTTAAGAATCTACTCTCAAGCGCTAAATCAAGGTATCCCTCCACCTCCTCCTCATGCAGTCTTTCTTCTTCTTCCGCGCCGCCTCTTCTTCTTTTGTCTACATTCCACCATGAAAACCTATTGATGGGACTGAAGGTAAAGATTTTTGACAACATTAACTATTATTTGTTAATAAAGCTATATTTTACGAACGATTAATACACTAAATCTTACTTACTCAGAGGATAATAAAGACGGCTATATCGTCATCCGAGTCACTGGGGACAAACTTGAGACGTACCTTATTTTCCAGCAATCTTTCTAAAGGATTCACGGTTGGGAGGTTGTCAAAGAAATCTATTGTCCATGATGCGAAGCTTCACACAGAACATTTATACACGGGGGATTTCCTTCCACCACACATATTTGTATTGATGCAAAAAATACTGGCTAGGACACTATTTCAAACAACATAATATTCTGTATTCTTATTCTCTTTTCTATCATTCAATATGATAAATAATATGACTCAAAACACTATCAAACTGTCTATTTATTCCTCGTGGTGTAAGTCCCCTCCTATGGGAAATTTGATGATCTTAACACGTAAGGGGGACTTACACCACGAGGAATATATAGACAGTTTCATAGTATTTTTTTAGTCAGATTCTTTTGATTTATTGATAAACTATAACAGCGAATATTCTTTTAACATCTCTAGGTAACTTCAATATAATCAAATAAAATGACTCAAAATACTATAAAACTGTCTATATATTCCTCGTGGTGTAAGTCCCCTTTACGTGTTAAGATCATCAAATTTCTCGTAGAAGGGGACTCGGATCACGACTAATATACTCCTCGTGGTGCGAGTCTCCCTCTATGGGAAATTTGATGATCTTAACACGTAAAGGGGACTTACACCACGAGGAATATATAGACAGTTTTATAGTGTTTTTTTAGTCAGATTCTTTTGATTTATTGATAAACTATAACAGCGAATATTCTTTTAACATCTCTAGGTAACTTCAATATAATCAAATAAAATGACTCAAAACACTATAAAACTGTCTATATATTCCTCGTGGTGCAAGTCCCCTTTACGTGTTATGATCATCAAATTTCTCGTAGAAGGGGACTCGGATCACGACTAATATACTCCTCGTGGTACGAGTCTCCCTCTATGGGAAATTTGATGATCTTAACACGTAAAGGGGACTTACACCACGAGGAATATATAGACAGTTTTATAGTGTTTTTTTAGTCAGATTCTTTTGATTTATTGATAAACTATAAAAGCGAATATTCTTTTAACATCTCTAGGTAACTGTCTGAAAGTGGCAGTGTGGTCTTGAAGAGGAGGGAAATGAGGGGTATATAATATCAACGGGTTAATTGCCGTATCGTATTAATTTCGGAGGGGGGACTCGCACCACGAGGAGTATATTAGTCGTGGTGTAAGTCCCCTTCTATGGGAAATTTGATGATTTTAACACGTAAAGGGGACTTACACCACGAGGAATATATAGACAGTTTTATAGTGTTTTTTAGTCAGGTTCTTTTGATTTATTAATAAACTTTAACAGCGTATATTAATTTAACATCTCTAGGTAACTGTCTGAAAGTGGCAGTGTGGTCTTGAAGAGGAGGGAAATGAGGGGTAGATAATATATCAACGGGTTAATTGCCGTATCGTATTAATTTCGGAGGGGGACTCGCACCACGAGGAGTATATTAGTCGTGGTGTAAGTCCCCTTCTATGGGAAATTTGATGATTTTAACACGTAAAGGGGACTTACACCACGAGGAATATATAGACAGTTTTATAATGTTTTTTAGTCAGATTCTTTTGATTTATTAATAAACTTTAACAGCGAATATTACATCTCTAGGTAACTGTCTGAAAGTGGCAGTGTGGTCTTGAAGAGGAGGGAAATGAGGGGTAGATAATATCAACGGGTTAATTGCCGTCTCGTATTAATTTCGGAGGGGGGACTCGCACCACGAGGAATATATAGACAGTTTAATAGTGTTTTACTTCAATCTTAATAGGCCTACTAGATAAATTGGCTCGACTAAATAAGGCAATAATATCATTTAATAAAATTATAATGAAAGTCATATTTCGTCTTCAATAACCGTTAAAGGCATGATGAAATCAATCAATATAATATTTATTCATTCAGCCTAATTAATGGTTGACTAAATAAATGTGAATTATAGTTTGCTTTATTTAGTGAAGGACTTTTATTAGGTTTACTAGATAAATTGGCTTGACTAAATAAAGCAATAATATAATTTTTAAAAATTATAATGAAAGTAATATTTCGTCTTCAATATCATACAGCCTAATCAGTGCTTGACTAAATAAATGTGAATTATAGTTTGCTTTATTCAGTGAAGGACTTCTAATAGGCCTACTAGATAAAT